GAGTTTAGGCGTTTGGGCTCAAGAGCTACGGCCGTCGGTTCGAATCCTACAAGTAACAGGAGTCGTGAATGCTCACTACTGATGAGTCCTATACTTGAACGAAAAGGCGGACAATAATTAAGATTCATCATTTCAGTATCACTGAGTAGTGTTTATCGAATTCCGTAAATCTAGTCATTGAGTGTTGTTTTGAAGTGATCTAAGCAACCCGAGAGAGAGAGAGAGAGCGAGAGTAAACTCTGTGTTTTATTGTAAAGTAGACGATAATAATTATCATTATGATATTCTGAATCTAGATTTCATGACGAATTGAATTAATTTGCAGCTTATACTTATAGCCTAGAAGGAGATGGATGCAGTTTGTAAGTTTCATATCAGTATCTCTCTCGTATTTACTGATATAGTTTGAGTATTTGTCACATATCAGTCACTACGATAAATACATATATTGTTAATTAAACCATCCTAAATAGTTGATTGAATGCGACCAGTGGATTTATCTTTCAATTATCAAGGATTGTTCGTGTCTGTATTTAAATCCAGTTTATTTATGAATGATAACTGTATTGATTTCGATGTTAACTTAGCTGAACATCAGTTTTTCTTAAGAGAGATTTTGGAAACTAGAGAGCTTTGAATAAGCTTTCCGTCTTTATTTGGAACTGTTTAACAATGTACATAAATAAATCCAAGAATCAATATTATAATTAACTTACCATTGGAATCTAACATGTTAGTCAACTAGGCATTACACTGACAGATACTTCTTTATTTTTCAAACGGCCTTTTTATGAAAGGTTATTCTGAGTATTAGCTCCGCTCTTATTAAAAGCCCTAAGTGGGCACCCTCACCACCGGAGACGGAAATCCATGAAGTAGAGTGAGGTGTGACATTTTTAGGGTTGACCTTTTCTAACCCCTTCCTTCCTTGTGATGAAAAGGCAGCAGGTTGTCCGAGGGGAACACCTTACTGCTGTCACACCTCTCTGCAGTCAACAGGACGACTTCGCCCTCAGATCTTGGGTAGCTGCTTTTATTTTCATCGTTCTCCGATCGACCTGCCTGGCATGATAGAGCCTACAGGAACATAAGTTTCAGCGAATATATCTCGTTCGGGTCATCACGATAGGCAAATCCGACCACCACGTCAAGGTAGCAGCTTCGGTCAGAGTTGTAGGCGATTATATTGGTTTTTAAGTTTAAGTACCCAAACACACACTATTGATTGAGATGGGAATTTAGTTTCACACACTGAATAGTTTGAAAGTATTTTCGAATTTCGGTTAAATGTGATCAGTATTATGTGTTAATTGTTTAATTCATCAGTTAACGATAAACTAAAGAATTAGTTAAACAAAAATCAGAATCGATTTGCGAATGATGTAATCGTGATAGCTGGGTAATCAGTATTGAACACATGTAACCTTGACAGGAATTAAAGTTTTAAAATTTTGAAATAAGTGTACTCTTCTTGAATCATTGAATTGATATTCAATAGTTTCAATGTACAATTGTTTATTCAAAATTTCCAGAAACCGGCTCAATAGTCCAGAGATTAGGTGTTCGCGCACAAGATTGAAGGTCCTGGGTTTAAAATCCTGCAATTTGATGGAGTTTTGAATGCACACATCTGATTCATAGTCCAGTCCAAAATTCCTGCATCAAAACTGTGCAAGTAGCAGAAGTCATGGATGTGCACCGCCACTGATTAGTTCCATACCAGGACGAAACGGCAGTTCAGTGCTTTTATGCTTCTAATCGTGGTCTAACATTGATCGACATTTTAGAATGTGAAATAATTATTTATTCTCTGTAATTCAATGAATGAATCAACAAACATTTAGGATAATCGGTTTTATGTTTGATTAACATATATGATTTCGGTGAAGTTAGTGTTGTGTGAATGGTATGATTGAATGATGAAACTTTTCTTGTTATTTCAAAGTTCCCTTATTCAAATCTGTATTCTGCATTATAGTATCAAGAAGATTGTTGTTGAAATAATTCTTAGTTCATTTTTAGAAACCTGAAAGCACTGTATGGCCATTTAGTCCTAGTACGGAACTCATCAGCAGTGCGCATCCACAACTCCTGCACCTCGCAGGATTTGAACCCAGGACTTTTGGTATTGTGTGAGAACGCTTAGCCTCTGAGCCAGCATCCGATGGTGTTAATGTCTAATACTGATCGATCTAGGGATTAGCACGCAAGCCTCATACATGGTCGTAGGTAGTAACTACCAACACACACGACAGGGTTCAAATCCACTGGTCACCTCTTCCCACCAGAAATACGAGAATTTCTTCATGAAGGTAGACACTAGTGTTTTTTTATTTTGCACGACAGTAATCATGAATGAATCCTTTTCTCTACTGATGAGAGTAGTCCCATACCACAACAAAACAGCCATCCAGTGCTTTCATGTTTCTAATTATGGTGGTCTAACAATGATGCATTCATAATTTCTGTGTGTGTATAAATCTTTTATTCCTTGACTATTAAACATGATCATTCAAAATGTACAACATTATTCAAATATATGGATTATTTAGATCACTGCTTCATCATCTCATGCTATCATGAATTGATATAAACTATTTTCTTTTTCAACCATACATGCGATTGTACATCTCTGTTCAACGTCGAAGCAATTTTATTTAGGCAATAAGTTGTGGGCTAAAGTGAAAATTTGATATTTTGTAATAAGTTAATATCGAATTTATGAATGTGAATTATTTTCAAAATATTTCAAGAGAACATGGTCATTTGAAGCCACTTACTTACTTACTTACGCCTGTTACCCCCAATCGAGCATAGGCCAACCACCAGTTTTCTCCAACCAACTCTGTCCTCGGCTTCTCTCTCCAGTTCTGTCCAATGTTTGTTCATTCCTCTCATATCTTTCTCTATTTCTCAAAGTTATATGTTCCTTGGCCTTCCTCTCTTCCTTTGACCTTGAGGGTTCCATGTGAGGGCTTGTCTCGTGACACAGTTAGGTGCTTTTCGTAGTGTGTATCCTATCCACTCCCACCGCTTCTTGCTGATTTACTCCTCCATTGAAATCTGGTTTTTTCTCTCCCACAGTATGTTGTTGCTGATGGTGTCTGGCCAACGAATCCGAAGTATTTTGCGTAGACATTTGTTAAATAAATACTTGTATCTTCTGGATGATGGCTTTGAAAGTTCTCCAAATTTCCGCTCCATACAATAGAACTGTCTTGACATTTGTATTGTCACAAACGTTTGCTAATAAATGTTGGAAATATTCATCAAATATCCTATGAGAATTATTGTTGCAAGTCTAATTCTATTGGTCAGTTTGCTACTAGGTCAATATCATGGTCGTCCTAGCTATCCATGTCACATACTTCAAGTGTTGTTCCCCTTTTTCGACCTAACTGTATGAATAGGCATTATATGTAACGTTATGCAACCCGGACCCGCACACGATTCCTCAATCCGGAATCCGTGTCTTCTTCTCGACCCGGACCTCGTACTTTCTGGTTGCTTGTAGAATACAAGTTCTACTTCATAACAAGTCTTCTTCTTTTTTTCAGTGGGACACTCGGATTAGAGTAGCATGTCGTGTCGCCGGATCCTCAATCCTCGCTCTCGTTTTCCGACTAAAGTGAACTCGTAATAGTTCAAGCATATCAAAATGACATGTTTACGTGCATACGTAACACAAATCAGTTTGATAATAATTTTTAACTGTGATTTGATATCGATTAGAAAAAGGTTTATGAATAAAGGAGAAGTAAACAGGGCTTCCACCATAGATCGGGCTAGCAAATCTTATGTCTAGGAAAATCAGAATTAAATGCTTAGAGGAGACTGGCATAACTGCTTCTCCCACCATGATCTTAAATTTCCGTAAGAATCTTTTTTTGTTTTGAGATGGTGGAGAAAATTTATAGTTCAGGTGAATGACTGTGATGGAGTTCCGTTCTCTGAGGTAGAATTTTCATTCTTCCACAGTGCTGTGGTTGATTTCTACTTCCTTCTTCATAAATCTTTTGCTCACAACTGTTTGTTTTCTGTTTCTGTAATCTTTTGAAATACAATTACTCAGAATTTGAACATTTTATGTGATCACGGTGAGCTTTCTCTTCGCCAGTATAAACTTCCTGATCAATCTACATGATGAATAGTGCAACTTTCAATAACATTATTGTTAGTAATTCTTCTGACCAAGATAAGGTTCGATTACTTACTTATGCATATTATCTCTAGTGGAGTATAGGCCATTGAACTGCATTCTTCAACCTATTCTGTCTTAGACATTCCTTTCAAGTTCTGTTCAATTATTGTTCATTCTTCTCATGTCTGTCTCCATTTCTCATTGTATTGTGTTTCTAGCCATCTTTTCCTTTGGAAGTGAAGATTTCAAGTGAGAGCCTGTCTTGTGACGGTCAGATCTGGTTTGTCCGATGGTGTCCGGCCAACGCATCTAAAGTATTTTGAGTAGTCAACTGTTATCAAACACTTGTGTTCTCAAAGTTTCGAATACATTCAGTAGAACTGTCTTGACATTCATGTTGACTTCAGTGTTGGTTATTAGTTGTTTTGAGTTGTAGATATTCTTCAATTGTAGAAATGCAGCGATTGCTTTGCCGATCCGCTTCATAAGCTTCTATACATTTGACTAAATTACGATTTATTTTGAAAAAATGAATTCATTGTGAGTAGAGAATACTAGTTGAACATATCAGTAATAATAGGGATAATTAAATTTTCAACCGTCTCTTAATACAGTGAAGAACTCCTCATGGAACCTCACTGAGACCACTGCCGGTCTCAAACTCTAATACAGAAAGAGGGTTATGCATGGGGTTAACGACCTCATCCCATAGGAAATTAACTCGCTAAAAAACGAAGCTAACTAGAAAAAATAATTCACAATAAATGTAGTAAACATTTTTCTCAGTGAATTCATATAATCAAATAACCATATACAAATACTTACATGTTCATTTTATGTTACTTCTTATTTCTTCTAGTCAACATTGAATTTGTTAGATAATGCTGGTCCTGATCAATTAATTTGTCTATTGACTGAAGTCATACATCAACTATTCGATAAAAGTGTAAGTTAGTTAGTTAGTTACATTTTCAATTGAATTTCATTTTGTAGTGAAATATATTTCATTGTGTATTACATTCGACAAAAGAATGTTAAAACAATCTGTGTATTTATTATAAAGAAAGAATGTTTTGTTTTATTTGGCTAATTTCTAAAGGTCAATAGACTAGAAATTATTTTTGATCATTGTTCAATGTTTGTTCAATGTTCAATGTTAGAATCGTTGTTTCTTTTTTTTCTTTGAAAGTAAAAAAATATGTTGACTGACTGACTATAGTAGTTTAAAAAATGAATGTATTGAAAATCCACTACAAGTCTATTTTCAAACTATCAATGATGTTAAAATGGATGAACGTAGTTTTTGTTTTGTTTAAATCAACTTATCGTACGTATTTCATGTTCAGTGTGTTATGTGTATAGTTAAGCGATTGAATCAAATATTCAGTGATTCGAATAGATATTCCACTTTATACGATGCTGTTTACACCTGTCGCCACAAATGGAGCATAGTCTGTTGATCAGCATTCTCCAACCTACTCTGCCCTAGGCCTTCCTATCTAATTCTGTCCAATTGGCGTTCATTCTTCTCACGTCTGTCTCCATTTCTCGGTATAATGTGTGTTTTGGTCTTCCTCTTTTCCTTTGACCTTGAGGATTCCAGCTGAGGGCTTGTCTTGTGACGCAATCGGGTGATTTCCGGAATGTCTGTTCTATTCACCAGTTTCATTCGTAAAGATATCGATTTAGTTTAACCAAATTAGTTAACTGTTACTTGCCTCATCATATCGAGGTAAGTCTGAAGAAAGGATTCATTTGGATGATTCCAGAAAAATCAATATTCGTATGAATATTTCATGCAGTGTGTAGAACTCCCTGCCACAGAGATATTCATGTTTTCATTATGAGTTGTAAGTATGTATCTGTACAGTCACCGAAATATTGTAGTGCTTTTTGAATTTTCATCAGTCAGTAAAGTTATACTGACTTGTGATTGATTGGCAAGATCGAGACAATTTGTGCAAAATGAAACTGATCAGTTTCTGTCATAAACATCAGTGGACAGATTCGAACAAGCAAGTGACTGTGTGCAGCACTCAGGAACTAAATAGATAACATGATGACATTTGAAAGAAATGATACTTGGTTTGAGTCTTGCAGTGAACTTCAACTTCCAAATGTAGGTATATCAAGCGGTTAAGCCCCAAGCAGAACGGAACGCTCACTTACTTACTTACGCCTGTTACCCCTAATGGAGCATTGGCCGCTCACCAGTTTTCTCAAACCAACTCTGTCCTCGGCTTCCCTCTCCAGTTCTGTCCAATGTTTGTTCATTCCTCTCATATATTTCTCTATTTCAAAGCGTAATGTGTTGTTTGGCATTCCTGTCTTCCTTTGACCTTGAGGGTTCCATGTGAGGGCATGTCTCATGACACAGTTAGGTGCTTTTCGTAGTGTGTGTCCTATCCACTTCCACCGCTTCTTCCTGATTTCCTCCTCCACTGCAATCTGGTTTGTCCTCTCCCACAGTACGTTGTTGCTGATGGTGTTTGGCCAACGAATCCGAAGTATTTTGCGTAGACAACTGTTAATAAACACTTGTATCTTCTGGATGATAGCTTTTGTAGTTCTCCAAGTTTCCGCTCCATACAGTAGAACTGTCTTGACATTTGTATTGAAAATCATGATTTTATTGGCCACGATAAAATATTCTATAATTTTCATGTCATTATTATTCTTTTTACTTGTACTATGATTAATCGAATCTGAATATATGAATTCTTTCAGTTTCCAGCTTCAATAAATTACTTTTAATTGCAAACTTATGGAGATTGTTAAGTTTCGCTGAAATCCTGAATCAATCACTGTTAGACCAACACTAGAAACCTGGAATCCCTGGACAGCTGGTGCGTCCTCATTTACGATTTATCAGCAATGCACATCTACGACCTCCACTCATAGCGACTGATAAGCGTTCGTCTACAGGACCAAAGACCCTAAATTCAACCTCCGCTTGTGTAATCATGGGTGCACACTTGACCAAAATGACCATCCATTGCTTCCAGGTTTCTAGTGTTGATCAAACAATGATCAACTTAGAAAATTTCACTTACAAAAAACTATTTATGAACAATGTTCAACGTCATATATATCATTGCAGTTTGAAAATTATAATTCTATTTATTGATCTCTGATTATTTTCAGTATTTTATATCAATTCAAAGATTGGATTCATCAAAGTTAGAACTAATAGTCAATACTCTTATCACTTGTCCAATGAATCATTCAATCAACAATCAAAAGTATCAAAATGAACAACAACATACATGTGAATCGAAAAAATCCAATAACAAGATGTCTAATTGTGTGATTGTCAATTTAGACGGTGAATCAGAGTCAACTGAAAATAAGTGAGTATATATATATATGTATATGTATATATAATTTCAAGATTGTACTTAATATTGGGGCACAGTTTTGGAGATTTGCGTTTTTACACATTTGAAATCATTAATCAATCATCATTGTTAGACCACCATTAGAAACACACAAGCACTGGACGGCCGTTTCGTCCTATTATGGGACTCCTCAGCGGTGCGCAGGATTCGAACCCGGGACCTTTAGCATTGTAGGCGAACGCCTTACAATCGGACCACTGGGCCGGCATCCAACGGTGTTCATGTCTAACTCTGATTGATCTAGGGATTTCACGCGATCTCACCCATTTGTCTTTGGTAGTGGTTACTGCCTACACTCGACAGGGTTGAACTCCATTGGTCACGTCTTCTCACCCGAGAACTCCGAGAATTTCCTCACGAAGCTAGTCACTAGTGAGTACTGTTACGATATATTGGGGCACAGTTTTGGAGGTTTGCGTGGATGCGCACTGCTGATGAGTCCCATAATAGGACGAAACGGCCGTCCAGTGCTTCTTCCAGGTTTTTAATGGTGGTCTAACAATGATGATTGATTAATGATTTCAAATGTGTACTTATTATGTAAACGACATCGGAAAGCCTGTTGAATATTCTGTAATTTTTAAGAGAACTATGTAAAAAGAATCTTGCGCCTGTTACTGTCAATGGAGCATAAGTTGCTGACCAGCATTCTACAACCTATTCTGTCCTGCTCCTCCTCTTCTCTGATCAATTGTCGTTCATTCTTCTCATGTCTGTCTCTATTTCTCAGTGTCACATGTTCTTCGGTCTTCCTCTCTTCTTTTGGCATTGAGGATTTTCAAGTGAGGATTTGATTTGTGACACAGTTGTGTGATTTATACAATATGTGTCCTATGCCCCTATAGCGTTTCTTTCCGATTTCTTCCTCAACTAGAATCTGGTTTATTTTCTCGTACAGTAGGTTTTTGCTGAGGTTGTTTTGCATAGAAACTTGTACTCTCCGGATTATGGCTTTCGTAGTTCTCCAAGTTTTTGAACCGTACAGTAGAACTATATAGTTAGCTCTTTTCTACGAGATGTGTTCGCTAACCATAAGCTCAAAGCTCCTCTTTTATCCTGACTTTGGACCAGCAGTAACCCTAGAGGTGCTCCAGGCGGAGTTATATATATCTATGGTTTTAGTAATCATAATGTAAACATCCTAATCACTAACCGATTCCTATAATCTAATGATCCGACCCACTGAGGACACATAAGTTTAAATCAGTACATATATATATAAACATTAACATCAGTATACTATGAGATCATACTTTGTGAACTGAATAATCTGAAACATATATTAGATAAAGTAAACGAAAACTATTATATACAATTTGTAAACTTAATTTATTCTCAAAACTGTCCAAAACGATCACAGAATATAATCGGTCAGTTGATAACTATCATTCCAGTCTACACAAATAAACTACAGTCCGCATATAAATTAATTTGGATGCGTTGTTAGTGTTGAACTGTTTTAATAACATACTCAATTTTTTTGAAAGCTAACGTGATCAGTGAGGCTCAACCCTTTCAGGTGTGAGGAATTTACTTGCCAAAGACAGTGGGTGAATTTGTGTAATACCTTGGATTGAATAAAGCTAGGCATTAACACCGTTAGATGCTGGACTTGATGATCTGAAAGTTAAGTGTAACTAATTTGTAGGAATTCTAATTTCTTACTTTCCTGCGAAAAGCAATCTATCCGAGAAATAAACTCAACACCAACGTTTGTATGACGCTTTGATAATTATGCCTTTTTCAACACTACAATAAATAGTCATACACTAGAGATTATTTTTCACTTTATAAACAAAATTCCAACAACTTCGAATATCCGATTATCATTGGTTGGGAACGTTAGCTCCCTAGAACTCATTTGATTAAGGTCCTAAATTTGGACTTTGTAATTTCGAGCATAGGCTGCTCAGTTGACCTTGAGATTAAATTTCCCACTCGGAAAATCCTTGACTGTCATTAGTTGGTGGATTATTTTAGTACGCTAATTTCACAAACGAAATTCCAAAAAATTCAAATATCCGAGAAGGCGAATGGGCAGATTCCGTGAGATTAGGCATTATCAAGCATTTTTTTAATTAGACTGAGATAAACTCGACATATGATAACCAACGTCGACGATGGACACACACGCACACACACTCAAGTAAACAAAACCAGGATCCTAAGCTAATCATTGATAAGGTCGAAAACACTTGTGATTAACTCAAGACCGATGGATTGGTTAATTTGTTCAAAGTCTGAGACAAACAAACAAGCCCCCTGACCGTAGCTGCTACCTTGACGTGGAGGTCGGGTTTGCCTAACGTGATTATCCGACCAAGCTGTATTGGCTGGAACATATGTTCCTGTAGGTCCTACCATGCCAGGCAGGTCGACTGCAGAACGATGAGGCTAAATGCAGCTACTCAAAGTCTGAGGGCGAAATGGTACTGCTGACTGCAGAGAGGTGTGACAGCAGTAAGGCGTTTCTCATGGACAACCAGAATCTTCAGCGACGCTGCCTTCTCGCAAAGAAAATGAAAGGTTTTGAAAAGGTCAACCCGAAAAATGTTACACCTCACTTTACCTCACAGATTTCGGTCTCCGGTGGTAAGGGCTTTTAAACAAGGCCATGCTTGACCGGCCTCAAGCAGTTGGCCGTTGGGCCCTGCAGTCAGGCTCCCAGGTCTCTTAGAGCAACACTAAACTACCTTGTTTTTTATCTTTCTCAAGAAGTATCATTCCACGATGTGGGCAGTAGGGAAATGGCATCTGCCCTCATACCCGTAATATCATGCGAGACCAAATTGGTCAAAATCAAATCTCACGTTGTAACTGAGCGAATGACTGACTAACTGATTGATTGACAAGCAAGCCCTGTCAGCTTGACATTATTTGTACACACACTAGATTATTATAGAACGCATCTTATTACAAGTATCCTAACAGAACATATTTTGGTTAAAAATGAATCACTTTGTTAATTTTGTAATTTCAACTAACCGCATGCCGTATAGACTAATGATTATCGCTTATTTTTTGCTTACAGTGTGAAAAGTTACGTAATCAAAGTGAATCATATCAATAATGCAGAATTACGGAATTTATTATTTCTTGAAAAAGGTACAATTAAAAAATTAAATTATGGTAAGTTAAACAAGTCTTTTTTTTTAAAAAAAATTATTTTAATGAATATTCAATATTTTCATTTATTATAAAAGGTGATATTTCAATGCAAGTGACAAAATATATTTGATTTTTTGATGAATTTACGCCTGCTACCCACCAATGGAGCATAGGCCGACCACCAGTATTCGCCGACCAACTCTGTCCTGAGCTACCCTTTCCAGTTCTGTCCAATTTTTGTTCATTCCTCTCATATCTTTCTCTATTTCACGGCGTAATGTGTTCCTAGGTCTTCCTCTTCCCTTTTGACCTTGAGGGTTCCATGTGAGGGCTTGTCTCGTGACGCAGTTAGGTGCTTTCCGCAATGTGTGTCCTATCCACTTCCACCGCTTCTTCCTGATTTCCTCCTCCACTGGAGGAATCTGGTTTGTTCTCTCCCACAGTACGTTGTTGCTGATAGTGTCTGGCCAACGAATCCGAAGTATTTTGCGTAGACAACTGTTAATAAACTCTTGTATCTTCTGGATGATGACTTCGGTAGTTCTCCCAGTTTCCGTTACATACAGTAGAACTGACTTGACATTCGTATTGAAAATCGTGATTTTGGTTTTGGTTGAAAGTTGTTTGGAGTTCCAGATGTTGTTCAACTGTAGAAATGCAGCCCTTGCTTTGCCGATGCGCGCCCTCACATCTGCATCGGATCCACCTTGATTGTTGATAATGCTGCCCAGACATGTAAAGGTGTTAACGTCCTCCAATGCTTCTCCATGAAGAGTGATTTGGTTGGTACATGTGGTGTTGCATCGCAGAATTTCGGTTTTTCCTTTATGTATGTGGAGACCTGTACCTAAATGAATGTTTGCTCTGGCTGTCTTAAGTTTCATCGGCCCCGTGACTTTCGAGGGAACTCGGCTTTAATCACGCGACGTCATAATTCTTCTTCCAACTCCCAGAGCAGAGTTAAAATGGTTTGGATTATTTTTTCTAGTTAGCGTTTCTTTGGCAAGTTAGATTTCCACGGGATGGGGTCGCCAACCCCATGTCCAACCCTCCTTCTTTACCCGGGCTTGGGACCGGCAGTAGCCCCTAAAGAGTTTACAAAATATATATTAGTTCATAATTTAATGCGGGACTTTATTTTTAACATAAATAAAATTTATATAAACAGCAGTCATACCTGATCACATTAGGTCGGCAAATTCGCCTTCTCCGTTTCACTTTGTTTCGCGTCTCATCTTATTGTATGAAACAAATTCATACAGAAACTAGTATAGGACTTTTAACAAACACCATCGCATAAACGGGGTTTCCCTAAGGAAAAATAATATGTGGTAATCAAAAAAGGGATTTATTTCTTCGCTTATTTAATATGCATTATGGGGGTTTTGATGAGTCCCATACCAGGACGAAACGGCCGTCCAGTACTTCCAGGTTTCTAATGGTGATCTGGCCTATTCAATTGTTCGT